TGGTAATTGCTGACGAGTTTCGTCCAATGTGGATTTTATCAAAGCAAAATACGAAAATATTAGTTACTTTGTTCATTTAATTTCATTTTCGTATTTTGCTTTGATAAAGTCCACATTGGACGAAACGCGTCAGCAATTACCAGTTTTCCTATTGTCATTTTTATTCATAAAATATATATATATGTGTGTGTGTGTGTGTGTGTGTGTGTTATTATTTAAAAGTTTTTTTTAGTGGATACCCATATTTGAGTAGACGCCCTGTTTATTTATTAAACGGTATACTTATTTATTTTCGTTTACCGGCCTGAATATTCGACACATCTTATTAAAGAAAAATATCTGCTCTCCTCAGAAGTAATAAAATCTGTCGAATTAATAAATAAAATTCACCACTTCTTTAGAAATTACTTTGTTTACGTTAAGATACGAAGCTGAGCAGATATGAATGTTCCGAAAATCTGAGAAAGATTTGCATTTATAAGGCAATATTCCCATTTGATTGAGCAAAAACGTACTTCATGATCGAGTCAGTCTAAAATACTTCGGATCTAACGACGTTTTCTTCTGCCAAGTGCCACCCAGGTATGAATCCTTTCGGATAGTGCATGCCTTTCTTTAATAAGATATATTTATCAGTCGGTGAAAATAAATAAATATACTGTTTAATAAACAGACCGTCTACTCAAATATGAGTATCCACTAAAAAAAAAATAACGTTTAAGTAATAAAATCTGTCGGATTAATAAATAAAAATCTATCACTTTTTATTGGTTAGGTAGAACTCGCGTGTTTTTGCTTTGTGGTATTAGTGTGGGATGCAGGCGCGTCTGGATTTTTATGGACATCTTTGTGTCTGCCTGTCACACACACACACACACACACACAGACATATAGCCCCAGCGCTAACACCACATGACAAAAACACGTGAGATCTATCTGACCAATGAAAAGCAAAACACAGACCTCAAAGTACCAGAACTTCCTTAATTAATTTCCAAAAAACTTCCATATATTCCATAATTTATTTCCAAAAAATTCTGATAAAGCTTAAATATATCTACTGTTTTTATGATTTTATTATTTCTAATTTAATGATGATTTTTTTTTATATATCAATATAAATATTTCAGCAAACATAATTAAGATTAAGTTGAGAATAACAATGTCATAGAATTTTCATCGATTTCCAAATAAAACATTCTGGAAACATTATCCTCAAAATGAAATAAAAGAAGTCAACTTACAACTTAAGTCAGTTATGTGCCATGCATGATATACGCGTAGGCGATCTTGTACCTTTCGATACATGACTGACGAGACAGATTTTTCCTGCAGTAGGCTCCCATTTCTTTCTGCGGTAGATCAGTTGCCATCTAAGTCTATAGAACCCGGTCTGTCCTGATATTTACCCATAGCTGGGGGGAGAAGAAGAAGATTCATACCTTTCCCAAGGGTATTAGCACGTAAGTGAATGTAATGGATTCGACTGGAATTCGAACTCGGTTCTTCCGATTCCTCAATCCGAGCCGCTATCCTTTACTCCACAAGGCAATAAAGTAAGAAATATGTTCCTACTGACAGTTTCTTTGACTTATAAAACAGGAGCATTACAGATGGACATGAAAAAAATTACAGAAAGGGATTTCAGGGATGCTACTCTATGACGTACTGATTAAAAATCCATAAATTCCTTCAAAGTTCCTAGTGAGCTAAATGTTCGGGAGTCCAAAATCCAAAATGACCGCCTCTACTGAGGCAACACATATAAGTTTTGAATCATTCAGCTCACAAATCTGTGTAATACCTCTTTTCCAACTAATCTGATGATAAGAAATCCAATTATTACCTTATTTTTAAGATTTAAGGCCAACTTGACCTAAAAAAAATCAAGGTTAAAATAGTTAGTCGAGGATCTAAAAGAGGAACTATCTCTGTCCAATAGAACCGGGAAGCTCTGGACACAGGACCTGAAGATGGTCAAACTTTTATTGCTCTTCATTCGGGCACAACTTACAGGGGATTAGTGTTTCAAGAATGCTCCCGATGATTTTCCTTGCTGGAGTGCTGAAGGGCATACAGCCTATTCAAATTGCTCAAGACTCTACCTAGATCAAATGAAACGACTACGACAAGTTATGAGTGAAGCACAATTTGTCAAGTATACTTCGAGAAGATATTGAACAATTAGACGATCCTATAGATTCTGGTCTGGTATTTTCACAGACAAAACAATTTAATGAGAATGCTCCAGACCAGAGGAGGCTTAGCCCACATTCGAGGAATAACTCCAAGTACCCAGTCAAAAATGGTCTGCATTCTGCCGCAAACTTGCCCTGTGTGTGCCTCCCTCGAAAAATTCTGTGGTACACACGTTTCCATTACAGATCAACACACAGACCTCAGGTCTACTTCTACTGCAGTGGAGGGTGGACATTTCATCGTTCAACTCCTACTTGTCCGCGCATTCACCATTTTCTTACAACGGAGAGTATGCTACTAAATTGGTTAGCGTTGCCACAGGAGTTGTAGCCCCTTGCATCTGTCAATGCGGACAGTGCTTTTCACTTTGGTGAGGAAGCTGCAACAAGCATGACTGGTACAAACTATGCTGACGCTAAACTCAGTGAAATGACAAGGTGGCGTCAATTGGTTCAGTAAATAACAGTGCAGAAGTTCGTGATCAGCAGGTGGAAATAAAAGCCCTCAATCTCTTTATGCATTTAATATGCATCGTACGGAATCGAACAGAGATGTAAGGTCACGTAAACTATGAGTCCAGTAAACAACCCCTCTTCACTTTTTGAGAATGATGCCATGAGGAAGAATACCAAAAGTGATTTTGCCAAAGAGTTAAGAGCCACTGTGAAAAAGCTATCAGCAGAAGTTTTACCAAACGCTACGCATGTGATATACGGAGATCATCTTCTGCACAGTGTGCTCTGGCCACTGACGGTAACGGGTAACCAGCACTCAACTTTAGCAAATCGTCAAAATAAGGCAAGTCTCATTGCTAAATTGATGATGGTACTTACCGCTGCGGATATAGCATGCCACCAGCGTATAGCAGATGCAGACATTCTGATATGCAGCACTGCAACTGAAGTCGCTGGCAGCAATCAAAATCCAGTTATAGTCGTCGAGAGAGACACTGACTTGCTCGTCATGCTGGTTGATAAAACTCTCCCCCGAATCTACATATGCAATATGCCAGATATACTATCTATAACACAGACAGTATCAAACTAGCACTGCATCCATAGGCAAGGGATCACATGCTTGTTACTCATGCAATTACTGGGTGTGACTTGGTATCCGCACTCTACAATATCGGGAAAAGGAAGACTTTAAAAGTACTTGTTGGAGAGGCTGGCAGATTCTTGACGTCTTCAAAATGCCAGATGCAATATATGGTGACATTGTCAAAGCTGATGAGATGTTTCTTCTCAAGATATATTGTGCAAATGCTCGCTCAACAATTCTAGACAAGCTGAGGTTTATCTTGTATTTGAAGACGTCACTTTTAACGCTTGACCAACATACTCAGTAGCTAAATTCCATGTATATCGTGCTTACTTAGCAGTTCAGGAATGGCTAGAGAACCTAGGATAATTGGAGCCAATCAAGTGCGATTGAAGAATAATTTGGAATGGCAGAACAACGACATGCACAGGATTTAACTGTTTGCACAATTTCAGTAGCATTCATGAAATTCATATTCAACAAGATATCAGTATAGCAGCTGCTGCAATTTGTTTCTATAGATTCATCAGACACCGCAGCATAGTCTATCTTATATTAATTCTACCTATAGTAAATTGGCCTATTCTCTATACTGTTTTGGTTACTAATCTACTTTTTAGGTCAGGTTGTCCTTAAAAATAAGGTAATAATTGGATTACTCATCATCAAATTAGTTGAAAAAAGAAGTATTACATAGGTTTGTCAGCTGTATGATTAAAAACTTATATGTGTTGCCTCGGCAGAGGCGGGCATCTTGGATTTGGGGCTCCCGAACATTTAGCACGCTAGGGACTTTCGAGGACTTTATAGTCTATTTTATGTATGAGTGGCCACCCAGGTCTCTTGACTTAGCAACATGTGACTTTTTCTTTGAAGTTGGTAAAGGAGCGAGTCTATTATACCAAAGCAAAACTTTGGAAGAACTTCAAGGGCAAAAACAGGAAGTTATGTCTTACATACCACACGAGATCCTGGTGAAATCAGTTGACGCGTTTCCTGGGCGACTCGAAACGCTGGTAGCGAAATCTGGTGCCCATATCGAATTTTAAATAAAACTTCATGCTAAGCGCTTTCTTCTCATATCTATTTCTTGTAGAAATTATAGTTAATAAATAAATTATAATTATTTAAAAATGGGGAGTTACTTTTTAATCTCCCTGTATATAGATAAAAAGGTGTGTGGGTGGGTGTTTTTGTCAGTGGAATTGACGTTTTCTTTTTTTTTTTTTTTTCCGATTCTATACCAGGATATCTATTCCATTATTCTATACCATTATATCTATTCCATTATTCTATACCATTATATCTACATACAGAGGTTGGAAGATTTTGAGCAGGGTCTAGTTCGATATTGAAACATTTCAATATATGATATTCATAAGGATAATTTTCTACTTTCCCTCGTATTTTTAATGGGTCTGTCAGGGTTTTAATTCTAAAACTAAAACTCAAGTGACCTTAAATAAACAGAAATAGACAAAAATTAAATAAATTTATTTCATGATTTCTGTAGATTTATAAATGAAAGTAAATTCATTTACTGCAAATCTGTCGGCATGCATGTGATGAGCTTACGTCTCTGCGATTGTGTGCGACTAAATTGAGGCCTATGGTTATAATATTAAAGTGTCTATAAATTATTTAATATGTGAATAAAGTAATAATAAAATATGAATATTTGATACATTTTTCGTGTGTAGTCTAACTCGAGGAAAGAGTTCACTTATATGTGTGTCATTAATTTGACTTCTAGCGACGCACGACTATATCACGTTGAAACACCGCTTCTCGTACGATCACCGAAGTTAAGCAACGTCGAGCCTTGTCAGTACCTAGATAAGTAACCGCTTAGAAATACCAGGTGCTTTAAGCTTGGATGTGCAGGAGGTGCAATTGTACAATGACTCGAAATTAAAAATCGCAGAGCCAAGTTCCAATTCCCGTCTTGCCCGTTATATTTACTTGGAAATATTTTATGTGAAAATATCGTTGGGAATGTATAAATACATCTCTTCTCCTCCGACAATGGGTTAAACAGTAGGACCTGTATCAGTAAAATCCATTTTAATCTCCAAAAAATGTTTACAATCTAAAAATATTTTCTGGTTTTAAATAACCTGCAAAAGGTTGATAAGCCATAAAAAACAAAATCAATCAATCAATCTAGCGTTCAAACAAATGCCAGGATGTAGCCAGAAAATATCTTGTCTACCATACTGACAACATCCAATTTCTTATGATGACTGAGACGGGCGAAAGCTCCTGAACTTTGAACTTGAAACATGAACTTTGGACTTCGATTTGGATCTCAGTCAGTTAAGTGGCATGCGTGATACACGCTTGGGCGATCATGTCTCTAAGCAGACGATTTCCCGCAGTAGGTTGCCGTTTCTTCCTTGCGGGTAGACTGGTTGTCGACCTTGTTATTCAAGCTATAGCTGGGAGGAGACAAGATAAATTCATACATTTCCATAATTTTGGACGTAAGTGTAACAAACTCGAACTCGGCTCTCCGATTTCCCATTTTCGAGCTGATATCCATTACACCACAACGCACATCAGATTCGGATAGACATCTTATTCGGAAATTAGAAAAATACAATAAAATATTAAACAAACCGTATCTGTTGAATTTATCAAAACTGGTTTACATTAATTCTTGCTGCCTAACTATACCTGATAGATAGATAGATAGATAGATAGATAGATAGATAGATAGATAGATAGATAGATAAAAATGTTAAATGTATATGACCATTATATGAACTTAGGTAATAATGGCACCAGTAAAAATGGCACAATTGGGAAAATAAGAAAAAATAAGTTTATAATAATGAAAAAATAAGTTTATTGAAATATACACTACCGGCAAAAAAGTTGGTTTTGAATTAAATCTAATTTTTTATTTAATTTTTCTTATTTTTCACTTGTGCCATTTTTATTGTGCCATTATTACCTTCGCCATGATTACCGCTCTTACATACTTACAAACTGTCCTACACATTAAACACTATATATTTAAATTAGAAACGTAGCGTTCTTTCAAAGAATATCGCGGATACAATCTAAAACTTTTCGCTCTGACACGAATAATGACTAAAGATCGTCAAAATTAGACAAACATTATGAATTTTGGACAGTTTCTGTATAAATTTCATTCGGATGTACGACAGTTTAAATACACAATGGATAAATGCAATAAGAATGTAAATAGACAGGCCTGGACAGACGATTTTAATAAAACTTGTTCGAAAGAATTCTTATCTAAACAGGACATGTGTGTGCGTATATATTACATATATACGTATATTATAACAAGAAAATAACGAATAAACAGAAAATACAATTTTAAATTGTGCAATTAACAAGTTTGCACGCTCCCGCCCGTGTGTGTGTGTGTGTGTGTGTGTGTGTGTGTGTGTGTGTGTGTGTGTGTGTGTGTGTGTACGCTTGAAATTTTGGGTAATTTACGCATATCGAATGTAGTATGTAATTTAAGCGCTATGCTTTGCGAGCAGTACCCTTTTAGAGTTCGCAATGTGAAGAGAGGTGCAGAGAAGATAGAAAATAGTTGATAGGGTAATTTATTTTCAGTACAAATTAACCGAATGGGAGTTTGATTAACTAATATACATATTATATATACATATATATATATATATGTCTGTGTGTGCGTATGTGCGCGTGCGCACGCTCACGCGTATGGGATGAATGTACTTCTTGGAAATATATTTGTATTTGTCCTTTACTCTTTTAAATTATAGACGCATATATATATTTGCATGCTTGTGTGTGTGTGTTTGTAATATAAATGTGCGTACTTGTGAGTGAGTGCGCGTGTCCATGTGTCTCGGGCAAACCCACATCCCGCCATTTTTTCCAATGCCGCTCGATCTCCCACCTCCTTCCCAACAACAGGAGCGCGTGCGGTTCCATTTCCCAGCTCACCCTCATTAATCTCCAATCTCTTACCACTCCCCATATCTCCCTCCTCCTCTTCCTCTTTCCTAACCCTTCAGTAATACCCATCCAAACCCTCCCCTTCTTATTTTTTCCACTCCCCCTTCCATCTTTACTTGCTTTCGTTCGTCTCCCACCTTTTTGCTACTCCTTACTGCTGTCACACCGTTCTAATTATCATTTGGAAACTGCCCGCCCTTACTTTTTTTTGTATCCTAAGGGCCAAGTCTTGCCACACTACCCACTATTACTGTTTTTTGTCCCCTGAATTCACTATGGCTCTGTCTACTTGCGTTTTATAGAATTATTACAACTTGCTGCAACCACTTCCACCGCCATTGCAATTTTATTTCTGTTGCTGGCGCTACTCATCTACGTTAATATTCAACTGTTGACCTCAAAAGTGTCTTTTTCATTCCTAGGAAGCTGAAACTTTAACAACTTCTTCTTCTTCTTCTTCTTCTTCTTCTTCTACTCCTCCTCCTCCTCCTTATTTCGTCTTGTTTTTTCCTGTTTCACTTCTTTTTTTTAGTCTCCTTTTTTTTTGTTTTCCCTTCCTGCCAGTTCTTTTTCTCTTATTCTTGTCACCATTCTCCTTTGCGTATCGACTTTTTCCACTCGCTCTCTTATATTTTTCTCCAAACGATAAGTTTAGGAAATCTTCTAAAGAAACTAAAATCGTATTTGCCTTTTCGATTCCATTTATCGTTCTTCCTTCATTTTTATTTCCACTGTTTCTGTTGATTTATTTTTACGTTCTTCAAAATAATGGACCGACTCATTTCTGCAAGTAATATTTTGAAAATCAGGTGAAATGAATTATTATTGACAAAATGAACCCCACCTTCTTGATGGTTAAACTACAAATCAACGTCCGTTAGTTATATTAATTTCCATATTCGCACATTCAAGCGGACGCACACGGACGGACACACACAGATATATATATATATATATATATATATATATATATATATATATATATATATATATATATATATATAGTTTATGAAAAACTAGGTAATCCGTATGGGTAGACCCAAATATATATATATATATATATATATATATATATATATATATATATATATATATATATATTTAGCTTAATATATACATATATTCGGTTTGAGTATGACACAAAGCCACATGCATGCGAACACCCGATCTATAGCAAAAAATAAAAATAAAGTTCTATAATTAGCAACGAGACAAATATACTATCCTGTACACTATGGTGATGAACCTAATACACACACACAATATATATATATATATATATATATATATATATATATATGTATATGTATACGTATATATATATATATATGTGTGTGTGTGTGTGTGTGTGTGTGTGTATGTATATGTATATGTATATATGTATATGTGCTTATAATAATAATAATTTTTAACGTCTAACAAAACACGATGACCAGTAAATCATTTGAGGCCAACGCGTTCAAGACGAACAGATCTTTGCTAATAAAGATATAAAAAAACAACAATTAATAGATAAAAAAGAAGTTCAAATAACATATTCTGACTTAACGTTTTCCAGAGAAAAATGTATTGAATTCATTAGCAAATCTCACATTCGTAAATGTGATATCTGTTAATGAATTCAATTCTGTAAAGCTTCAAGACAGAGGAAATACCATTTGAACTTTTCTTTATCAATTTTATATATATATATATATATATATATATATATATATATATATATATATAGAGAGAGAGAGAGAGAGAGAGAGAAGAAAGAAAGAGAGAGAATGGAGTGGAAATGCGTCAGTTTGATGAATTCTCAGCACTCTTCATATATATAGTCAGTTCTTTTTTCAAGAATGCCTACCTATGCCCAAATTAGTGATATTCAATAATAATCCCTCTACCCCAATAGATAGATAGATAGATAGATAGATAGATAGATAGATAGATAGATAGATAGATAGATAGATAGATAGATATTGACATGATTGACATTACTGAGGTAACCAATTTAGAGTGATGTTCGTACATGTGTTTCGTAATAACGGTTATTCACTTGTGACAATAGAAATCCAAAAGTTGAAGAACAGATGTGAAAGGAAATGCTTTAGCACATTTTCAGGATTCCTCTTTCTTTCTTTTTTCGTCAACTCATAAAGAGATGGGTGTGATCGAAGAAGAATTAGAAAAGGCGTTAACGAAGCTGAGTGGCGATCACAACGTGGGAAAGTACTCGCTTGGATCAGCCATGTAATGCATATAGCATTGATTAAGATTTCTGAAAGACTTTCGCATACACAATGTGGATGTTTTCATTCCAAACGCACGCTTTACTTTAGTTCAGGCACCTACGAGTGGCAGTGAAGTCTACAGTTTGCAATTTAAAAATTTCTCTTTGACAATGAACCCTAGATTCGCGATATATTGTAGCGCGCTTGTCTCCAATATTCTTTATCAGTATCCCAACGCTTGTAGTATTAGATAAGAAAAAATATATTGAATACTGGAATTCACAGCATAATAAAATTAAACACCACATGGCTTAGGTTTGATTTGGTTTGTTTTATTTTGTTTTACGGCATATCAACCTCAATGGGTTATTTAATGCCGACAAGATTTTTAGGATAGATTCGTATGAATATAATATGTAGTCTTTGCAAGAAATCGGTTTATAATAGGTCGGGTTTCATTGATGTATTTTGATGAGAGCAGTTGTTTCGTTATAACTCGCTTTAGTTTACGTTCATATCGAGGAAGCAAGTTCTTAAAGCCTTTTCATTTGCTTCAAGTTCTCAACTTACTTATATTTTCAACAGCCTTCTTTATCTTTCGATGATCTCTGCAAAGCTCCTTGATACCACCAATTCCCTCACTCAATAGCTTTATTTTCTGTTTTTCAGCAGTCGTTAGATGCTTCCCTTTACCCATGTTTCAAGATATAAACAAAAAAAAATAGGTTTTATTTGATTTCAGATAATATTAGTTTAATCTGCATAACTTCAGTTTGTCCACTATTATAAATTCCAAATATCTCAAAAACTAACCATTAAAAATGGAAGAAAATTTAATTAAATATTTTACTAAGGGTGAAAATAGACGAGTTAAAATTTGACAAATATTGATTCGGAACTTTTTGAGTAATTAAGGTTTATTTGATTTGCATAATAACTTCAGACAGACTGTAAAGATTGACCAAAATTATTTAATATTAACTAATCATAAAATGTATGAAAAATCGTTACTGCTTTACTTCGTGTTGGTTTGGTTAATCATCTCGACTTAATAGAGAACGTTGTTAATTCTTTAAACAAATAGGCCCGATAGTGCTGCGGTTACCTGTTCGGAAAGTCGAATCGGGGGGGGGTGAGTTTAAGTTCTTGGCTAGTCGATTGTAATCGCTTTTGCTTTAATGCTCTTGGAAAAGATGTGATTTTATTTTCTTTCTCCCTCTTACCCACCATGGGTTGAATAGCATGGTAGATTGGGCTTTCTACCTTTGAGTAACAACCTGTGTAAGAGAAGCAAAACTGTGAATTATGAGCCGTAGAGAAAGCAACATCAAACTAATGCACAATCTTTCCTAAGAATTCATAGCAATTCACAAATAATAAAGGAATCTGTGGAAAGTCAAGATTGTCTATGTCCTGGAGGGTCATGGCATTAAAAGAATAATGAAATACCAATTCCTATAAACGCTTCAAGCAGGTTCAACAGAACGATTTGCAAAGAGTGGATTTCAAAATCTCGAGATGCGTAAGCTGGCTCGATCAATAAGTTGTGATTGTAACGGTCGTTGAACAGGAAAAGCAACACATTTGGTCAAATGAAAACTTGAAGATATTATTTTAAAAAATAATCTTATTTAGTTTCGTTTTTTTTTTTCGCAAACACGCAAACAACATACACATGCAAATGTTTGTACGCACAGAAACACACTTTTTAAACAATATATAAGTGCTCACACGCAGAAATGCACCTACACAAAAATACAGGTATACGCACAAAACACACACACACACACACAGATACATAGACAAAATGCAGATGCACACAGAGGAATACACACGAACTCGCACATACAGAAACGCAAACGTACACAAACATACACTCAAACTCCAAAAAGTTGCATACATGCACACACATACATACAGACAAATGCACGTATGTACACAAAAATAAGCCCGTACACACACGCACGTGTGCACACACACACACATACATGACAATAAATTAGAATCTAAAAACAGACAATGGGATGTGCGGATAACGTAACGATTATCAGCTCGGAAAGTGAAAACGGCGAACCTAGTTCAAACTCTATCCTTTCTTGTTGCACTTTGAACTAATAATCTTGGCAAAGACAAATAAATTGTTTTTTCCACTATCCAAATAGCAGACAAGACTGGGCTTGTTTGGCAACCAGTCTAGGTGAGGGCAAACTCCAATTTTTTCCTATAAAGCAACGGGAAATCACTCCAATATCTTGGTATTAATATTGTATAGGGTGCGATGGGTAAATTGTCGTCATTTTGTATTTTTAATTTCGCGCATGCGTCTTGTTTGTTTGTTTTTTATTTTATTTTGTCGACTGCACAGTAAAGTAGGCTCATTTGGAAAAAAAGCACCATGACGCGATTCACTCTGCCAGAAATTTGGAAACGGCATGCTGTACTGCTTGGCATTTCCGCCGGAAGCGCTAATACTAACAGAGTGTATGGGCGTCAATCTTAGGACAGTGCAGAGGATTCGTAAAGAGTTGGATGAATCTAAGGGTGATTACGAAGGTGGTTGGCGTGATTACTAGTGATGGTGACATTATGCCTCCACTCATCTTTCCACAGGGACTCAGACTCAACACGAAGGCCTACACAAAGTGCCTTGAGAAGGTAGTGCTACCCTGGGCCAAGGGGGTCGCTGCTAGAACCTATGTCTGTTAACAGGACTCTGCACCATGCCACACAAGCAGGAGAATTCAGTCATGACTGTCAGACAATTTCTGCGTTCACATCAACCCTTACATCTAGTCACCTAACTCCAGACTACAACACCTTTGATTGTGTGTGAGGTGCAGTTTGAGCGAGAGGACAACAAAACTCCTTGTAACACCAAAAATGAACTGAAGACAAGTAGCGTTCACCAACTTAAACAAGGAGACCGTCCAGAATAGTTGCAGCAGATTCCGAAGTCGTCTGGAGGACCAATGGTGATTTTATTGAATAAATTAACTCTTTAGTATTTCAAGATTTTTTGTGTAATTTTAGTAAATATATCTGTTAAAATGAGATGCCAGTATTATTTTCATTTTTTTTTTTTTGCGTAAATTAGACGACAATTTATCCATCGCACTCTGTATATTAAAGAGAGATATTAAATAATGGGAAGATGTGGAAACCACGACAGCCTGAAGGGACGTGACAGTTTTTTTTATGGTAGTTCTAATAGTTCAATTCTTTATTACTTGAATATTTCAGTATCAATGCTTGTTGAATGATTTTTTTACGGATTATCAACCTTTTGTAGATTATTTAAAGCCAGCAAATACTTTTAGATTATAAAATTTCTTTGAATATAATAATGATTTATTGATATAAGTTCTACTAATTAACACATAAATGGGTAGTGGGGTAGAAGAGGTGGATTCATACCATCCCCAAGGGTATTTGCGCGTAATGAACCCGACTGGAATTGAAACTCGGCTCTCCGATTTTCAATTCTGTTATCCATTACACCACCCGCATATCCAAGCTTGCGTGTCCTGGTATCCCCAAGAGGTCACCCATCGAGTTACTGACCAGGCTCGACGTTACTTAACTTCGGTGATCGTACGAGAACTGCTGTTTTAAGCCAGTATCAATGTTTTAAAATAGCTTTTAATTTTTAGCAGATTCATACGCGCATACTATGGAACCGTGTTTGTGAATTAGAATATGTACATTCATGTGTGTATGCGCACGTTCGCACACGTGTGCCTGCGTGAAAGAGAAAGTAAGTTGACGCAGTCTAAGAGCAATTTTTTTAAAGTTACGTTATTTGGGCGTAATTTTGATGTCCAAACTACATCGCCATTTTTATAATTTTGAAAATGGTTGTATCATAATCAAAATCGTGAGGCTTTTTTATTCTTTCTTTTTTCCTCAAGAAAAATGGCTATCATTTAAACGAAGGAATTTTACATTTAAAGTGTGAATTAACAACAAGCGCTGGTCCTTAAGAGCAAATGGATTTATATGATTGTTAACGAATGCACATCACTTCTATCTGATTTGGAGTCACTTGTACAAAGATAACAAATCTTCCTTGTTTTGTTTTTACGAGACACGCGACTATTCGAGATTTTTTGCTTCTGTTTGTGGAAATATCTTATTTTTATTTATATTTTCCGTTTCTTTTTGTATTTCTTCCATTTATTTGATTTTTCCTCCATTTTGTTTTTCTTTCAATTTTTTTGTTTTCATTTCCTCATTTTCATTGTTTTATGTTATTTGCTCTTTTTTATTATTTTCATTTTTTTTTTTTCAGGGAAGAAAAGAAACTTTTTTCTTAATTCTTCTTTTTCCATTGTCTTTCTTCCTTACTGTTTGTGTTCTTAACCTTCTTGTCTTTTTCCAGCTTTCTGCATTCTACATTTTTATTATTATTATTATTATTATTATTATTATTATTATTGTTGTTGTTGTTTTTGTTGTTGTTGTTGTTGTCATTTCGTTCTTTGCTTTTGTCCACTTCTCGTCATTCTTATTTTCTTTTCGCCTGGTATTTTTTTATCTTCTTTCTTTCTTTCTTTCGGTACCTTTATCATTCTTTTTCTTATTTTCTAGTTCTTCGCCATTTTCTCCTTCGTCTTCAATTGTTCTTAAATTTTCTTCTTCTTTTGTCTTTCTTCTTTAATTTTTCTTCGTTCTTCATTATTCAGTTTTCTTCTTCGTCTTCTTTTATATTTCTTCTTGTTCTAAATCTTATTTCACCCTTTTTCTGTTTTCAGTTCTATGTTCGTTTCTTTTCTAAACTTTTTCTTTAAAATTAAATCTCTCTCGCTCTCTCTGTCTCTCTCTCTCTCTCTCTCTCTCTGTCTATCTCTCTCTCTCGCTCTCTCTCTCTCTCTCTCTCTCTCTCTCTCTCTCTCTCTCTCTCTCTCTCTTGCCTTTTCTTTTTACCTTTTTATGCCTTTTTATTCTCATATATTTCGGCTTGGTCAACGAACTTCCTTTTTTTTCATTTGCTTTTCTTTTTGCACATTTTTCTTCATTAATCGCCTTTTTTTTTCTAGTTTTAATTTTGTTTATTTGATGTTTGTCCTATTCAAAACTCACGCACACACAAACACGCACGAACGCGCACATAAAATGATGCACACGTCCATTCACCTGAAGAGGACAAATCAGAACGAGGCTACGCATCTTATTTATTTATTGTCAATCAGACAAAATGGCGGATGACGCATCCATCACTCAGTAAGGCCAGATTTAATAACCTTGCAAAAAGGTCAGAAGCTGTGCATTGGCAAGCCAACGACCAAATAGGATTTGCGTACTCATTAGTAGATAAAGAGGTCTCTTATTTCTGGTCAGCCTCTTATCTCTGCCCATCTAAATCCCATATGACACGGTAGGCGAGCATGTTTTATTCACACACTCACATTTCTTGTCTGTATCCGACATTTTACATTAATCAAACCACGAGTGCATTGATTAATAATATTTTTAGTGGCAACTGCTGCATCTAATTAACACTTACTTTAGTAAAGCCTTCTTTGATCAGAGCTTATATTAATTTTCTCTGCAAGTCGTTCGTGTTTTGCCGTTCGTCAATATTGATGACTTTTCTTTTCAAATCTTTAGCTTTTCTTTTCAAATCTTTTATAATCATCCAGTAATTAAAGTCCGAAGAAACGCACGCACACACACACAAACAAACAAACAAACAAACAAGAAAGTGCTGAGAAGTTCTCGGCCTGATCTAATTCCGAAATGAGCAAACATCAGAATTTTTTAATCGCATTTTAGTCGCGCCGAAAACTTTTCAGCAAGCCTTCTTATAAAATTTATAATTGGGCAGCAATTTCTCATCGAATCAGGTTTTATTAAAGACCACGTAAAATATTCGTTTACATAAGTTTTTTCTTGAGTTATTATATGAAAACAAAAGAAACAGCCACAAAAGACATTGAAAACATTGACAAGCTTAAGAAAAAAAAAAGTAACACTGGCTTTAGAATGTTGCAGAAAGAGATTTGAACAAAATTAAAAGAGTAATGAGCCAAAAAATATGGCATTATCAACAAGAAAATATTTGAAAAATTTAGTGTTGTGCATGTAAACAAAGATAAAAGATACGGAATATTAGCTAAATACCTGAAATCATCCAAACTGCCATCTTTAAATAAGCATCATAAAGTGTATGTTTGGCCAAGAAACACAAGAATACTTATTTCTCAGTAGTAATTTTTTGTGATGGATGTAGAGTTATATTGGATGGAACTAATAAATGATTGGGTCTTTCATGGAAATACTCAACCAACATGACTTAGAATAACATAGTGGCAAGGTGGAGTAATATTTGGAACTAGTATTGTAGACAGTGCTTCAGAAGCAGAGCGAAGAAGATCCCGAAGAGATGCATTCAGCACAAAAGGGATTTACTTCCGTACGAGATCAGATGGCGGGCTGTGTAATTTTGCCCGCCTCAGAGCCAGGTCCAAAGTACGCGAAGCCCTTGTCAGAGACATGCTTTTTGCCGACGATACAGCGGTAGCGACTCACATCCAGTGTGAACTTCAGTCACTGATGAACCGTTTCTCCCAGGCCTGAAGAGACTTCGGGCTGATCATCAGCTTGAAAAAGACAAACATACTGGGACGAGGTACCGAAACACCACCAACCATAACTGTTAATGACTATGAGCTCGATGCAGTACATCAGTTCAGGTACCTTGGCTCCACCATCACTGAAAACATCTCCTTAAACGCAGAGATTGACAGGAGAATCCGGAAGGCAGTCACAGCCCTTGCGCAACTCACAACACGTGTGTGGACAAATCCCAAGCTGACGGTGAAGACCAAGATGGCAGAGTACAACGCCTGCGTCATCAGCACAATGCTATATGGCAGCGAGGCTTGGACCACGTATGCCAGGCAAGAAAGGCGTCTGCACACCTTTCAAATGAGAAGCATCCGCCACATCCTGGGAATAGCGTGGCAGGACAAGGTGCCCAACATTGAGTTTCTGTCTCCAGCAGGTATACCCAGCATGGTCCTACTGTTCAGACAGTGCAGACTCCGCTGATTGGGCCATATCCACCACATGCCAGATGGCCGCATCCCAAAGACTTCCTGTATGGAGGGCTGGCCTCTGGAAGAAAACCCGCCGGGCGACCACTGCTGCGATACCTCGATGTCGTGGACATCCACAATGAGTCCTGGGAGAGCCTGGCAGTCATACGATCCAAATGGAGAGGAACCCTGACCAAACACCTCAATTCAGCGGAGGAGAAGCTAACACGTCGTCACGGAAAGGCGGACCCGCAAAAAGCAAAGTGACAGCTCCAACAGACCAGAGACAGAACACACATGCGACCTCTGCAACAGAGATTGTCACTCCCGCATTGGCCTCTATAGTCACAGACGTCGATGCTCCAGCCAAGCAGACAACTAGGATGCTACCCATGGTCTACCCTGACCGACTTAGTCCTACGTAATGTAGGTAGTAAAATGATAAGTCCCTTGAAAACCGATGACGATATCAAGATAAATGCAGAGAATTATTGCAAATTTATTGACAAGTTGTTTTCGAGTGTTACAAATCATGATAAAGAATTTCTAAACTGAAGAATATATTCATGCAAATCAATGCTCCATCATTTGCTGCAAAGACGATGATTGTCCACCTTCCCAAATAACGGAATGTATACCAACCTCTCCAAATATTGAAAAAATTCGTACCATCATTAAATGATCGGAATGAACAACAATATTCAAGCAAAGATCTAATGGATTCAATCAAAACTTCTTGTAATTCGAAACAGTAATGTAAACGCATCAATGAACTTTACAGAATGTAAAGGAGTTCATATGCAATAATGATTTATTCAGGTATATGGGATAAAGTTTTAAATATATTTCTCTGGCCTATGACTCTTGGATTTATTTATGAACATTTTACTTGCACTTAGCTCGTGTGCATAATAAAACCTGGCTACCGAACAAACACGTTATTATGTTTAATAAGAGTAAACATTTCAATTTTCTGCATACAACGTGTGAAAGTAGGTGAGATACCATGCTCTCATCAGCCACCACCCTGGGGAGGTAACACAGTTTCGGTAGCTAAGGCGGCACTGCAACCCCTGGTGCCACCAGCAGCATTTGCCACCGGACAGGGTATTGTTTTTTTATGGAGACGTGTCAGTCTCTGCAATTTTTATGAAACTGAAAGTCAGATTTTCAACGTTGTGTTAAAAGCGTTTGATTTTGATCGTTAAACAAAACCCTACGCGCTCGTAGTGACGATTATCAATCAGGTAGAATGGATTTTTAAACAGATGTGCTTCATGTCGGAAGTAGCATTGTGTTGTGAACATGGTTTTAATATAATAAACTAAAACTCACACAATATTTTGCTCATAAATGTAATAAATCTTACCAACTACATTGTCGAAAACATTGACTTGCATAATATAATCTGGCACCCTAAATGATTCATATGCACAGAGACCTTTTTTGCTTTATTTTCAACCAGCAATTGTTATCCATAATAAAAATAAGACAGGTAATTTTTACCTGTTCCCTCTGCTAACGTATATATAAATCTCTTTCGGAATTTAAAAATCATCTTCGTAGACATGGTTACCAGCCGTACAATAATTTATTGTTTCCTTGGCAACATTTCCAGGCACAAAGTAAGAAATAAGCAATAAAGTATCATGCCCGATAACGAGTCAACTGCCATCATATATATCAGAAAAGGTATTACAGAAGTGCTCTCGAGCCAAGCCACTGTATATATGGTAAATGAACTATTTAATACGGTTGTTTCTTAAACATTCTCAGTCTCATGGGATGAACGCTACATTATATGCAGATTCAAAGTTCTACATTATTATAAATTTAATATAATATAGGAGTATAAATTCAAAATATAGAATGTTGGTAGATAGATATTTGAAAAAAAAATCATGATATATGATATAAACTTATATGATATATATTTACGTTAAAATAAGATGAGTAGGTACTGTGTAAAATGACGTGTATATATATATATATATATATATATATATATATATATATATGAAAATTGAATATTGTTTATTGGTAAGTGTCATATTCAAATGCCACGGAACTCTGCAAATATTTCTGGGAAATTAAGACAGGTAACTACACATCTGTAGTAAATTGGAATTTCATCGCTAAAACTACACCCATTTCCGCCCGTGGGAAAAATGCAACCTTTGTATGTTAGAGTAAGAATTCATTCTCAGGCTCATTGACAATCCTGACCTGTTGAACAAACGAAATGAACTTATGATAGCATGCATTTATAAGAAAAACTCAGTTTTAAAATATTTTGATTCTGGCTAGATCAATTAATCCAACATCTTTTCAATATCTACCTACTAATACTCTATAATTTGAATTCATACTCCTATATTATATTAAATTGATAATAACATTGAACTTTGAATCTGCATATAATATAGCGTTCCTCTCATGAGAACAAAGATTAAAAAAAAAAACAACCGTATAGTTCATTTACCATGTGTGCTTGATGAATTGGGTAACTATAAAACTACAGAACGTCTATTGTTACATGGTATGTTTATTTTTCCAACATCGAGAGAATTGACATAACAGCTTCCAGTATGACACAGAACTATAAAATACACACCATGCTCGTGGCATTAGCTCTTGAAAATAACCAAGTCATTAATGAGCTCCGGCAGTGACATGTCATCCATGTCTATGAGTAAGAAACATTCTCAGCCGTCAAATTTTATATCCCAGCAAATCGACGAGGACTGTCAAATATATAGTATACGTGTCTAATCTTACGTGATGATCAGAAAATAATTCAACCCTGAAAAACCTGAAAGAATCGTGATCCAATTGAAGCGCTTGCCGACAAGTTCAAGTACACCAGGATTAGAAGGGAAACAAGACAAATGACACTGTGCAGACACTGCAGATATACCGACGATTATGCACACAAAAATTGTCATCTGTAATGGTGCTAGTGGTTGTAAGCAATGGGGACAATATCATACTGCCTAACTTCTTCCCGCAAAGGGGTTCAGATTGTCAATGTCTTCACCTACATATTGAGTCGTGTTTCAGCAGGACTTTGCTCCCTCTTACATGCACTACGTGTCCAAGGAGGTGTTGACTGAAAATTTTCGCGAGCATTTCACCCCCAATATATATAGCCTCCTAGCTCTCCTGATTTGACTTTTCTGGAGTGTCGTCGAAAGGGAGACAAATTATTAGCCTAGCAACGAGTAATATATGTATAATACTACTGCACTTTATTATAATTGTTTTACTATAGAAATACATTTTAATATACAGTGTTAATTATTATTACTATAGAAATGCACTTCAATGATAAAAGAATACTTATTTTTCATATCAACTTTTAACTTTTAAGATAAATTTGAAGGAAAAATAACATTTGATAGATAGATAGATAGATAAGAAACAGGGATTTAGATAGATAAGGAAGAGCAATTTAGATAGATAGATAGATAGATAGATAGATAGATAGATAGATAGATAGATAGATAGGCTATATATCAGCGAGCTAATTAACTATTATTGCTCCAATAACCTTCATCTGCTTCCAAGTAATAGATAGGTATAGTGCTTTCAATGGCTAACTTTGATGACACTCATACGCCGTACAATTCGTCTATAGCGAAGTGGGGTAACCGTGGCACACACAAAATATCATTACCCAATAATCATTAACAAAAAACTTTTTATTTATTTTTCATTTATAATTAGAACAAAAATCATCCTTAATTATTCAATCTTTTACTAATTGACAATTTATTACTATCGTATAACGTGTATTAGTGTCTATCGGCCATCTAATAAATACTAACCTATAAATTTTAAAATGAGAGCTAAAATATGTACGCTTTTTTCCAATCACCAAGAATGTGTTCATGCGTGTGTGTTAATAAAAATGGGTTGCGACCAAAAACGTTTGGTAAAACCTTGAATACATAAAATATCAAGACAAAAAATGCACACACAAAAGTAAATAAATCCAGCATGAGTTTTCAAAATTAATGTCTCAAAGGTAAAGTTTTTAAAAAGATTTAATAGAAAGATAAATATATAAGAATTGAAACTGGTATTAACTTGGTTGTTTTTTTAGTGAAAGAACAGATATGTCTCTATAAACATTTATAAATGATACAAAGACACCGAGCTAGCTGTTAGATTAAAGTGCTTTTCACATAAAACAATTAAGTTTCGTCAACAGACAAATGGGTCTATCCTTGCCAATTACGTCAATGGCCTTTTTTCTTCTTTTCTTCTTTACTGACCTTCGTCATTAGTTGCCAAAACCATCAAATTCTCTATGCATTCGGCCCTCATCTAATCGACAATTCAACGCCCCACCAAGGGAGGTGGGCTCTACAAATGATTCGGACACCAAGGAATCTATGGATGATCATGGCCCGTAATGGTCGGGATTCGACTCACGTGACCGACTGGATAGTGACCTAAGATGACGGCTGAAAGATTATTATATACGCCAAGTGCTACTTAACGTTGGGAAAAGACAACAGCAATGTCGTTTGGTCGGAGTGAGGAAATGAAAGAGAGGACAGTCTGGTGGACAGATATATCCGGGCCCTTCAGTGTCTCTGATTTCGACTTGATTTCAGATTCGGTCCCTATTTTTATTCCCAAACCCCTTACTTGCCACATTCAATTAGACGCGATGAATCAAAAAAAAAAAGAGAGAGAGAGAGAGAGAGAGAAACCATAAAGATATTCCAGACACAGTTATGAGGATTTCGACCCCGACTCCATTATCCCTTCTTATTTTTGTACTATCTTTTCTTTATTGTATTTATATTTTTGCTTTTACATTCTTCTTGCCCTCTTTCTTTTTACATTTTTTATCACTCTTACTTTCTTTTTACCTTTATACTATCTTTATCTCCTTGCTTTTTTTTGTTTATGTGTGCGTTTTTTATTTATTTACTTTCTTTGTGTTATTCCTTTCATTTTCTCCATTCCAGTCTCATTTTTTATTCTTTTTTTTCTTTTACTTCTCTTTTTATTCTCAAATTATTTAATACTGTCTTTTTATTATTTCTTTCTTTTCTTCCTTTTTCTTTTCTTTTTCTTTCACACTTACTTTCTTTTTCTCTTCCTTTTCTTTCTTTTTTTACTTTTTCGACTTTCATTTCTTTCTCGTTTTCGTTCAACTTATCTTTCTTTTATTCTTTTATTCGTTAATTCTTTTCCTCTTTTCCTGTCTTCATTTTCATTCTTTGAAAGTGGATCAAAAGTATTTTCCTTTTTTTACAGAATTTTACTCAAATGTTTATTTTATGTTCATATCTAAAAACACCTACCCCCTGGTTTCAAATATGGTTGTCGTTATTAATTCTATTCGGTTGTACTTTTTGTTTCAGATATTATAATGGTTGAAGCATTATCTTCAACCCTGGCCTCAAAGACACTGATGTTACTCGTAGAATCGGTGAGTAGAAGGAAATGAAACAACATCTGCTCAAAACTGATATTCGCATTTTAAGAGTGGAGACTTGTCATTTTAAATCAGTGTTTCTTGCCCCTTTTTTTAATTCAGGGCGCACTTGTAGAATAACTAAAACTCTGGGAGCACTTTAAATTTGAAGAAGGAAAAACTAGTCATGAAATTTGAAAATAGGAAAATAATAAAGAAGTTCTCTTAAATAAGCATTTATTTTTAACACATTAATTTGCATATTTAAGTGGTACTGTTTTCATTTTAATAGAACTTAGGAAGACTCTGATAATATTTTTAGAGAGGTCGATAGTTTCTGAAAGGATTATCCACTCCTTCTTAAAGATTAATGAATTTAGCATCCAGTTTAAAATATGAAATGCCAAAGAATTGATTTTAATGTGGAAGCCATCTGCTTGGTGTCTCTAAGTTTTAAAAAATAAAGATTTTTAAAATATAAAAATAATTCATAAATTACTCGTCTGTTAACTTAAGGCACACCTGGCTACTACCTTTCAGGGCGTGTTAATGCGCCCGGGCGCACCGCTTGAGAAACACTGCTTTAAATAAAGGCCAGAAGTGGACGGCGAAGCGAATTTACCTGCACATATAAAAATAACAATAAAATAACAATTTTATTGGTTTTCAGAGGGGTGCTGAGAAGTTCACGGTGCGACTAAAAGGTTTTTACGAAATAAAAATATCAAGTTTGTTGGTATATTGAAGTGGTAGGTTTGAGAACTTTCAGCATTTCCTTGTGTAATTTTTAATCAGATTTCTTTTTATTTCTCTATATCTATATTTATCTATCTATCTATCTATCTATCTATCTATCTTTCTGTCTGTCTGTCTGTCTATCTATCTATCTATCTATCTATCAGTTCATCTATAAGTATCATTTGAACACATTTTAGCTATTTTATTCTCTCTCTACGCTCGCCCTCCCTTTCTCTGTTTCTCTGTCTCTTTGTCTCTCCCCCTTCATAAAGTCTTTTTTTGTACTTGTTGTCTCCTCTATTCTTTCTTTTCTACAGTCTCGTCTGTTTTGTTACAATATGTTTGTCTCAGTCTTCTATTCTTATTTTTCTTCGATTATTTTCTTTCATTGCCCTGTCTTTCTTTTTTTTCCTTTCATTTTTCTTCTTTCTTTTTTTTTCTTTGATTTATTCCTTTTGTTTAGTTCTTTTACCCACCTTTCTTCACTCTTTCTTTCTCTTACTCTTTTTTCTCACTCACCCCTACTTTCTTTTTTTTTACTTTTATTTTCCTTCAACCTTTCTTTCTCTTTCCTTCTTTTATTCCTGATTATTTTTCCATTTTCCCTTCCTTATTTTTCGTTTCATTTCCTCTTTTGTATCTTCCCTTCCAAAACTCTTATAATGCATACATGCCTCTAAAATTCAACCTCAGCCTTTCGTTATGTTTCTTTTTTTCTTTTCTTTTTTTTTAATATCATTACCAATATGACCATTATTGGCAGCCGGCAGGTCATTAATCGTCCGGGGTGATTGCTTCATAAAATCGACCATTGAATTTTTTTTTTTTTAATTCGAGAAGATTTCTTTCATTCTTAACAATATGAAAGCCAGCTGAAATTGCTGCCCTAAACCATTTGATATTAGCGAACAGTTGGATCACGATCAACTATTCTTAATTTTGCCACACAACCCATAGGGTAAAGCTATACAAAACTGTGTTTGGTTGGACACATAGTTAATAATTATATCTTGCAAGCCTCCAGGATTTTAATAATAAAAAATACTGACCGTAGACAATAAGAAAAGGATATTTCTCTTTCTTTCATATTGAAGTTTTTCAATACTTCTCTCATTCGTCATCTGCAATCCAATTGCAATTCGTACTTTTAAAGCAACTTACGATGGGTAGACATACACAGACTTGTGGATTCGAACGGCCGAAGTACTTCATCAAATGTCCGACATCGTATAATTTTCTCCATTTTCGATTGCAAAAATGAAACAGCCTGAGCCTAGTCAAATCCCATATCTTCATGGCGTAGCAGCTAATGAAATTTTGATCTTCGCCCTCATAAACAATTCTCATAAACAACGGATAAGAGTGAGATCTCGAATCACTGCGATATTAGTGAGCTAACGCATGCGCAATTAGATAACAGATAACAAACTTTACAGATGACAAAGAAATGTCGATATTTTTTTTCTTTTTATTAGTTGGAAATATTTAGATCGTGATCTTCAGTAATTGACTACTGAGAATAAATGCTAAGACCGAGAGATAACAGCTTCTTCTGTCATCTCCCTCTTTTGGAGGGGAGACATGACACTGTAAAGATTATTTACTAAATAAGGCAACAATAATCTGTTACCAAGTGTAGCACTTCTTAATTGCTGTTGTCTAAAGGACCACTCTGACTCCGGGGTGGAAGCACCTGTTAGGGTCTTAGCTATGGGCAAATAGAGAACCCAAAGACAAAACACTATAAAAGTAAAAAATCATTTTTATACTAAAATTACCAGCAATACCTTATTATAGCAAAATGATCAACAATACATTTTATAGTAAAAATGACCAACAATACATTTTTATAGCAAAATAATCAACAATATATTTTATCTGTAGTTGAAGGCATGCACTTGCGTTCAAAATATTTAAATTTCGGCACTAAATAACCCATAGAAGTGTTGATATACCAGTAAACGAAATCAGTCAACCAATTGGTACCAAATGAAAATCAAACCCGCTTACCACATTAGTAAATAAGCTGGTGAAACTAGTTTACTAACAATCTCCTATCATCATTATTGTCATCATCGTCGTCGTCGTCATCGTCATCATCATTATTATCATCATCACAGTTATCACCAGCAAACATTGCGACTTCACTGCTAGACAAAGGCATTTCCAAAATCCTTTCATGTCAAATCTGACTGGACTATTTTTTGTTGTCTTACCAACAAACCCTCTATCTCTTCATTTCATCTTCATTCTTGTCGTTTCCTACAACGTATTCTATCCATTGGCACTAAGAAATTTTTATTAAGCTGAATTTAGATGTAACACAAGGTCACAAGTATGGAACACTCAGTGAGGATCGAACTCACTACTCAGTCATAATGGATCTAGCTTGTTATTCATTACATGATGTCAAAGTGTCCCCATCAGAATTATATTTACGAACGAAAAGTTCTCAGTCTGTCTCAGTCGCGAAAATCATTATTTCCATGACCAAACATCAGAATTTTCTTACGAAGGGTGGTGACTTGAGGGGTAAGTATGCACACGTTCCAAGGCTTTAGTTCATTCTTCCTTTGTCATGTTTCAGTGCCCCGCCGTATATGGTTGGATGCATGAACATGCATACAATACAAAAGACGAAACTAAATTCAACTCTTCTTTCAGGAGGCGCAGATGAATATATTAGGTTGTCCCAAAAGTTCGTAAACACTTGCAAAAAATTGAAATTTTACTCGCCAAGTAATAACAAAAACAACAAAAATTATTCCTCAAAATAAAGACCATCATTTTCCAAGACTTTCTGCCATCGATCTGCAAGCTTTCGGATCTGGTGAAAATACCATTCAGACGGCTTCGAATCAAAGAATTCTTGACACGCTTCCTCGACTTTATCAAACGAGTCGAATCGGCGGCCCTTCAGAAAGTGTTGCATTGAGCGGAAAAGGCCGTAATCTGATGGAACACAGTCAGGACTGTAGGCTGGATGTGGCAGAACCTCAACGCCGTCCAGCTCTTCAAACTTGTCTTTGGTCTTCCTGGCGGTGTGTGGCTTGGCATTGTCCTGCTGCATCATAGAGCGCTTTCGGTTGATCAAAGCCGGGTACTTTTGCTTCAACTTTTCGTAGACCCGCTCCAGTTGCTGACAGTAAAGTTTGGCACTGATGGCACGACCATTCGGAACCAACTCAAAATGCACGATTCCTTCAAAGTTCCACCAAACGCACAACATGACTTTCTTGCCGAATCGATCTTGTTTTGGAACCGACGGTGTCTCTTGCACTTTCTGAACCCATCGCTTGTCTCGATTGTGCTGGATTGTGTTGCATAAAAATTCAATTTTTTGCAAGTGTTTACGAACTTTTGGGACAACCTAATATCATGCAGTTTAGTGTATATTTTACAAGTACACAAATGCTATAGTATCTCTTTTATATACCGACATTGAGTCTGAATTTCTTTTAGCCCTAAACTATATATACGCGTGGATCAAATAAAAAAATTCCGAGAAGGCCACCAAATATGATAGACATCTGAAGAAAGATTCCATTACAATGGCGTTTGTTTGTTTAACGGCATATCAACTCCTAATGGGTCATTTAATGTCGAAATTTAATTTTCTTGGGAGTTTGAGTATTTTTTTCTTTTTACAAAGATCTGTTGCTGATAATTTTCTTTTTAATCTATTGCCGGTAATTTTTTCACTATGAAAATATATATTTTATACTATTAATTTTTTTTTGTTTTTTTTTTTATCCCAATTTGGGGTTTCTCTATTTGTCCATAGCTGGGACTCAAACAGGTGCTACAACCCCGGGTCAGGGTGAACAAGGGAACAACAGCAATTAAGAGGTGGTTCCACACTGCTCAAATCCACACGACCACAAGTCTTGCTGCTGGATGTAATTTATCGTCATACCCAAGACGAACGAGGAAATAGGCTCCTCAAAATCATTGTATAATAGTAACAACACCTTGTATTAGATATGTACATAAGACTGGGTTAAGATTTAAGAAGAAAGAAAGAAAGAAAGAAAGAAAGAAAGAAAGAAAGAAAGAAAAAAAAAAGAAAGAAAGAAAAAAAGAAAGAAATTGAAATAGACAAAGACATAATAAAGAGAGACTGGGATAGATAGATAGATAGATAGATAGATAGATAGATAGATAGATAGATAGATATAAACAGGCTGAGATAGATAGATAGATAGATAGATAGATAGATAGATATTCATACTGAATTCCTTGAATAAAACATCCACAAATGTGATGTGATGTGTGTGTGTGTGTTTTGGTCAGGCCACTTGCAGATCGATGCGAAAATGCCATAAAACAGAGGGCGCGATCATTTTTGGCTACTCCATCTTTTGTTCCATTAAAAGCTGACATTTTTCCAATTTTCTCTTTTAGCCTTCAACTCACAAATCTGACGCGACCACTTTCGATTCTACCCTTAACATTCATGTCACCTACCCCACCCCCAATCCATTCACACACAGGCAAACGGATTATCGTAAGGGAGCGGTAAACATTAGGAAGATCATAGGTAAAGGTTGGTTTTTCGAAAGTTTCTGTTGTCATTCTAAATGCTTTCAGGCATTAACTCTTTCTCTGTTATATTTGTTCATCCTCTGAAGAGGACAACTTGATATTTAAACTCATCATTATTAGAACAAAAAATGCTTTTTCTATTTTTGAAATATCAAACTACGTAGGTAAACCAATAAGTCTCCGGCCTAATGATGAAAAAAGGACTTGTTTTACCCAACAAATATTTATTACCCGGCATAACACTATTAAAAAGTACAAAATTTCTTTCTTTATATTTCTGTAACATCTATGAAAGCCTTTTCTATAGTAAAATCACCAATGCATTTATAGGGAGCAGGTCCTTCTCTGGTACATTAAAGATAAAAAAAAATTTTTATAAGAAATAAACACTTTCATTTAAATATAAGTGTCTTGGTTTTATAGCAAATTCCTCGAATATCTTGTTATGTCATTTATTTTTCTTTCTAAAATCAACAAGTATGTGTTTTTTAATAGAAATGCAATCCAGTGAGGACATTCTTGAGCCGTTGTGCACGATTGATCGAATTCTGTTCAAAGTAGATTCTTTCGTTTGTAACTGAAGTTGCAGGGATGGTCAGGAAATGTAAGAGTTTAACAGTTCAGACACAGTAGACAAGAAAGCCTGTTTATGAAGGAACTCGAAAGTCGCATTATATGACTTGCACCATTTTTTAAAGTCATTGGCATATTATATATATATATATATATATATATATATATGTTAAGAAATGGACAAGGTCCGACAATTTATTTATTAAAGACATTTTTATGTTTAACGTTGTTATTTTATAGATACAAGTATTTAAGCAAATGCTCTGTTTATGATAAACAGTATTATATATATATTGACATCATTTTAAAAGTAATTATCTTAAAACATTATAAATTTATTATGGGACCGATTTCATAAGAGTTCAATAGGCTCACCGCCTGTGACACGACACACGTCAAGTCGGTAGTTAAGCTCTTGCCAAACACGCTGATGATAATGATGGTCTTTAGCCCTGTATAAGCAGCCTTCCTCTTTAAATTTCCGGTACCAAGTCCAAATTTGTTTGACAGTTGATGAAGTCTTTCCTAATTTTGCATTGAAGTCTTGGGTGACCGTGTGCAAGCAATATTCCGGGATGGAAAATTATTTGTCTTTGGGAGTGAACGGCATGACTCAACCTGAAAACAGAACAAAAATAAAACATTAAATATAAAATCTTGATCTGTTTCTATACAATCTGTGAAAATTTAAGGTTATTTCAACAAGAATTGCAAAAATTATTGGCCTGCGAAATGATGTCAAATTTTTTGGGACACCCACATATATATAAATGTATATATGGCAAGCAGGTCAGTTGGAAGGCCATTCTTGCATTACAAAAACAATCTGAAACGATGCAATATCTCTTTTTCTTCCTGGAAAAGAAAAGTATCCGAACGAGAGAGCTGGCGCCTCTCGTGCTTCTCATCTATACAAAGATTTAAGCGAGGCCGACTTGAACTGCGTGCAAATATGGCAGAATGCTGCTCCTTTCAATGATGGCCTTACATTCCACCGTAGCTTTGCCGCACGCAGTAAAGCAGGCCTTGCTGTCCACTCGCGGAAACATGTGGCAATTGATCCTCAACCCCACGAGCTAAATCACACGTTCCATGTGCCTAAAAGTTTGAAAAACACCTGCAGGCTTTGGGAGACATGTGTGTGCCCATAAATGTTGGGCACCTCTTTATTTTACTGAGCCCTTGTTGTCCGCAACGAGAGAGTTCACCAGATATATATATTCCAACTCGGCTCTCTCATTGCTCATCCGAGCCGCTATCCATTACACCACAGTGCCTCCATCAAGTTCATTATATTCACTTACGTGCTAATACTCTTTGAAAAGGTATGAATCTATCCCTTTTCCCCCTTCCCCAGCTATGGGTAAATAGCAGGACAGATTGGATCCTATAATTTTGGGTCGCGAATGGTCTAGGAGAAGGACAACTCTGAATTCAAAAACCTGCGGAGGGTTATTTGGAGACCTTGTGGCATACTGAACACCAGTTCACCGTACAGACAAACCTCTCATCTACGCCCCGCCCTAATCAACGGACTTAGGATGCAACGAACAAAATCTACAAGCAAAATTTTTAAAAATCGCTGAAAAAACTTCCAAATTGTCAGCGATATATTTCAAAATTTGCTTGGCGGCGGTGGCGAGCTTTTGATTAGTAATCAAAAATGCGTGTACATTAGTGCGTGCGTGTGAAAGTAGCTGTGAGAAATCTATTATTGTTGTTTTGATTAAAATATCTATATTAAGTATATATTTATTTATGCCATACATACATGTTTACACTATAATCATATCTACTGGCAGTTACTATAGTAAATGTTGGTAGCCTGACTGTTGGTTTCAAGAACTGAGCTGCTTGACCCTCATACGTCGAAAACAACGGAATAGTCCACACACACACACGCACATATATATATATATATCGAAAAACATAAGGAAAATTAATTCCTTTTAATATGTGGAAATATCCACTCTTTGTCTGATGAAGGTCGAGAGACCGTAAACACGTGTAGCAAAAATATGGAAAATAAAGTATAAATATATTTAAAAAAATCCGCATTATAACTAAAAACGTTTGCGTTTTCTCTCTTCTTTTTAAAATATACACTTTTCTCTCGTTGAAACAACTATAACCTCTTCCTTATATATATATATATATATATATATATATATATGGAGAGAGAGGGGGAGAGATTAGAGAGACATTAGAGGGAATAATGTTAAAAATATTGCACAATTCATTTTTACAAAAACAAATCATCAGTGACTAACTACACACAAGAATGAAAACGGGAAGCAGTTGTTTACATTTAAAGCTGTCTAGTAAACATTGTAAATGTTTACTAAACAGGTAAGGTAGTAAAGAAAGGCGAGAAGGACTTTACATCATTTGCAAGAAGACAGAATGTATAGTTGTCAACAAAAAGTACAGGCCAACGTATGAATTGCAAGTTGGAGATGTCAAAATCAAAAATCAAGTACAAAACTTTAAATATCTGGGAAGTGTTTTAACGGTGGGCGGAAAGTATGACTCCGAAATCCGAAGGCGCATTGGGATAATGAAATATGCCTTCCAAAAGCTAAGCAAAGTATTAAGAAACAGGGAAATATTGTTAGAAATAAAAAAGAGAGGGCGTAACTTTTTTCCCGGTGGAACTAATGAAAGCACTTTCGTTTTAATGGATAGAAAAAAAATTGCTAAATCAAAGTGAAGGAATGTCAGTAAAGCCAGAAAAGGAGAAATGTGGGTCGAGAAGTGCTTCGAGTAGTGATTCTCAACCGCCGAGCCACGGGCACATTAGTGTACTCGCGGGATCTTCTTAAATGTGCTACGAAATATTATCACGGCATACATATATATGCGTATATGTGCGTGAAAGTAGAATTAGTACAGCGTTAGTATTTGAATAAATGAATCCGCTCAACTGAAGAAGAAATGAGGATCTCATTATCTTACATTCGATCAAGCTTTGAAGATATCGCAAAAGACATCAGGTACTGTTTACACACTAAATAAACTGCACATATAGTTGAGTAGAAACATTGAAATAAAGTTCATATTTGTGTGTGTATTTCTTTTTAATCTACGGCTTTATTTCATAGCATTTAAATGTATACCCTTTAGAAATTTTCTAAGTGTGCCGTGATATTTTCATTTGCTTCTAGGTGTACCGTTGCTTAAAAAGTTTGAGAAACACTACCTTAGAGTGTATGATCAGCTCACAAGAACGATGGTAGAAATCCGAAAATTCTATCACAGTTATACGTTGGTTTACTTCCGACTGACCAGATAAATCCTTATAAGAGCTTTAATGATTTTAACTATTCAGATATTTTAACTATTTCAGTTTCATATCGACAGGCCGGAACGATTATTATTTTTTTTTTTTTTGGGGGGAAAAAAAATCCGCCCGGAGAATTCTTATTTCAATCACCCCTTTCGTTAAATATTCAGAAAATTTCTTCCCACTCCTTAATTTAGGTCACAAGAATTCTAAGACAAAACATTTTATTTGAGTATTTAATAAAAATGGGTGATTTGAATAAGGATATCCTAAACCGTCAATTTGAAATTAAGATGTAATGAAAAGTTAATCATAATATTGTTAGTTTCCAAAATAGAATACAATCTATACATCATGTTTGTTTCAATTTCTCCTGACAGGAAAAATAAAGAGAAGGTCAACGGACAGACCACCTCACCGTATTGAGCTAATAAGTTAATGAGATTGATTATATTTGGATTCTCTTCTCTTCGCAAAATGCAAAGCTCCAATCGTGACTGTCAGATCAATCTATCCATCGAGTGTTCGTCGTCAATACAATGTCACACAATGTCACAGCTTCAATAACAATATATGATGTCACAGCTTCAATAACCATATATGTATTATGCAAGACTGGACACTTACTTGTGCCTGTCTTTACGACAGTGTCAGTATGCACTATTTACAATGTGAATACGCACTAAATTCGATCCTTACATTGTACACTGATCAGAAGATTTGGAGCCCATTCATTAGACACTTTTCTAAAAGTGGAAGTAGCGCAAGTTAGATCCAGTTAAAACAGTTCAAGCAACATGGAAAACCTTTTTTTCTTTTTTTTTTTTTTTTTTTTTTCCTAATTTTATTTTACTTACATTTGCTTAACCGGAAGTTGACAGCTATTCTTTTGCTAAACACCTCAGTATAAATACAATGTTTTCAGATTTAGGGTACCTAGGAAAAATCTTTATGCACTAAGGGCGACGAAATTCGAAAATGTTTGAATAGCGCCCGCATTGGACTAAGCTAAAAAAAAAAGTCAAAGTCACAAATGTTCAAATGTAGTTGGTGCTGAAATATAACTGTCCTTATTATTTCATCATTATCCGACTGCTAAAGTTTCCACTAATGCAATGTTTGCAATGATTAAAATGAATAAAACTTGTGACTTATTTAATAAATACTACCCGTGATACCACAGGTTGTATAAACAACGGGTATTATTAGATTATGACAAAGAAATGTAGGTGGCTCAGTCGAATTTAACAGATAGATAGATAGATAGATAGATAGATAGATAGATAGATAGATAGATAGATAGATAGATGGAGAGGTAGAGAATGAATACTGATGCAATAGAAGCAGCAAAAATCTGCATATTGGATTGTCATCAAATAAATACGCATGCGTGTACGCGCCCGTCTTGTTGTGTGTGTAATTATGTAAACGAACTTTTGTCCTCTTTTGTCCATCGTTCAAAAATAATGACAATATATCTGATCAATTCGAAGAATAAAAATAATAATAGGCACTAAAGATGTCACAACTGTTGATTCTACACATGTGCAGATACGCATGCGCGTACACAGAGCTCGCCTCACTGGTTACACCCACTTTTCTTGAATAAGTTGATTCAGAAATACGTCGAATTGAAAAGCAATTACTCATAATAATTTGATCAAAGTGATCGAATCGATCAGGTAGTAAGTGGGCCGGGTGAAATTGTTACGTCGTGCGTATCTAACGAGCGATCATCGTGTCAACAAGTGGATGGGCGTGGTATAATGGTGGATAATTGACACACACAGTGAAGAAGGGAAAACGGGAAGGTTTTTAAAAATAACATGACAAAAGAAAGAAAAAAAAAGAAAGAAAGAACATGGAAAAAGAATGTGAAAAGAAACAAACAAGTAAAGAAAAAAAGAAAGAAAACGTAAACTACATAGAAAGAAAGAATAATATGAAAATAACAAAAGAAAAAAACAAGAAATATAATTGAACAATTATAAAAAGAATGAACGAGGAATCTAAAAATCAAAAACATGAAAAATTAATTTTTTTAGATTAAAAAAATGAAAAGCCTCAAAAATATAATGTCGACATTAATTCCTTATCTTGAAATCCATTCTTTGAATCAGCATAAAAAAAGAAATTATCATTTGATTGAATTTCACGTCTGCTTGATTTCTCTAAACGTCTGTTTGTGGTTTTCAGCACACTGAACGCAACGGCTATTGTTGAGACACAGTAGTGTGGCATCACCAAACCCTGACGCTTTCTTTTTAATGACATAATTATTTTATTCCATCATTGAGCATCGTAATTCTTTTATCGAAAGACTTTTTGAGGAAATGTTTATTCGAAAAGTCTAGAAGCAAGAGTTATTCTGATTAGGTCAAGTTTTCGAATAATCGCACACAAACTATAATGAAAAACCGATAAATATTTTAAAGGCACTGAAAGAAAGATTGATTAAAACCTTTTTCACTTTTGAAGAAAAAAGCAACACGCGTTAAATTCTTCCCGCGCTCATGCCCGTCTTATTATTTGCAACTGAGGCCATGTTCGATTTACGTATAATTCTATATTTGATTTCGCCATTACATCATAATTCAACATACCTATATAGATAACTTAAAGAAATAAAATTAGATTCTAATCGCTAACCAAATTAAATTAATCTGGAGATAAGTTTTCAAAGGTTATTGCGTGTTGTTATGATGTTAGGATAAAAATAAGTCACAATTTTGTATGGAATTCAACACTTTTGCTATGAGTGCGTTGACGTTGTATAGTAAATATTTATGGGCTCCTGGAACATTGGTTCCGCAAACAATATTGGCGGATACATGCGAGTCCGGGTAAAAATAATGACCACAAAACTATGAATTAAAAAAGAACATGTATTAACAATTAATGCATGTATTAACAAAAGTATTTGCATATGTACACAATTGTAATGTAAGGAAAAAACTGAAACTATCCATAAAAATATTCTTATGGGTGTGTGAAATAAATGTGTGTATGTGCGTGTGTCAGATAGTTCAAAAGCTTCCGTTTGCAATGTTCTTTGTCTACGTTCTTCTACATCTGAAAGCAAGATTTAAAAAGGGAAAAAGAGAGAATATGATTGCCTTTTTATAAACTCCAAGAACGCCTTCTGACACGTTTTTAGTAAAGCCAAGTGAAATAACCAACAAGTTAATCAGCTTCTAATTTTATACCAGTTTTCAAAACTAAATTTCATAAACCAATATAAAACTAGTCTTAATGTAGCACTAAATGTAAACAAAAAATAGTATCTACTTAGCTTAGTAAGCATCAAATAAAAGCTTTTAAATAGGATTAGTATGAAATTCCTACCCTGGTATCAAGTGCCAGAGGAGGAATTTCAAATTTAAAAGGGGGAAATATTAACCAAGAGGAGAAACTGTTCATTAAATCAAGTGTAAATTTTATGATCCGTTGAAATAAAAATTTCATTTTTTCGTTTGATTGCAATTAATAAAGTAGCTTGCTTTCATAAATTATCTTAGTAATTACAACTGTATAATTTATAATAATGAAAAAATTACTACCTGAAAATTTAGAATGTGGGAAGAATTGAGGAAACATGGAACAGCAAGGTAAGGGTGCAACTCGGGGAGAATCATTCTCCTAAACCCTACATCTTAATGACATTTGATATCGAAATATTTTCTAAATTAAATATATTTTATTTGACATTCGAAACATGACAATGCCTAAAAACGATCTAATGATAAATCCCTTTTGTTTTTAATTGTGTGTGTGTGCGTGCGTTGTTTGTGTGTGTGTGTGTGTGTGTGTGTGTGTGTGTGTGTGTGTGTGTGTGTGTGTGGCAAAACTACTAGATGAATTGAGTTGAAATTTGACATGCATTTATGCCAAGGTATTTAAAAGATATAGTGGGTTTCCTTAAATTCTTCCTGAAAACAAATGTGTTATTTTAGTATGTGGCTGTCGAATAAACAGTTATCACTGTCATAATAATCTGAGTTACTTCCTCTTTTTTATTTCGTGTGACTCTCATGCGTAATAAACTTTGAGAAGCTTTTTCTTCCCCTTCAAATCTTTAAGTCTCACAATATTTTCTGTAAATCATAATGATATCATCCAGTGATATATATAGCAAATTATTCGTTAAACTCTTTCCAAAACAAACAATTTTATTTGAAATTATCTAAATATTGTACTTTTGATGCATCTATGTAATTTAAACACATAAAGAGTCAATATTTATTTATCTTCTGTAAGCTTTTTCTTGTCCACACGAATTTCCATTTGTATTTTTTAATCATTTCATAGCAATTACAATCACATGTACTTTTGGTGATCGTTTCGTCTGTATCGTAAAAAAAAGATATCAGATTTAGTGGAGAATCTTTTATTTTCATATTCTAAACATATTTTAAAATTATTTTAAGTTCGTATTTTTTCATGTTAGCACTAATAAAAGGAAAATTATGAGAGAACAGCTGTTACAAATATACGAGCATATTTGTAAATATGCTGATTGTGTGTGGGGGTGGGAGGGAACGGCTAGTGCTTTGTGACCCTCGTTATCTTATCGACATTTGTTTTTTTTCTACCTGCATTCTACCTACATTTACATACGTTACAAATTAAACTAAGCACAACTGACTATTAAAGGATGTAAAATGTTTGCGGATTTTAACGTCATTCTGTGGTTGTTATCTTTTGTTTAAATCCGTGAATTTGTTTTGCTCATGTTAAGACCCGAAAAACACTTATTTTATATAAAATTTACTATTTTTTATCCATAATGTTGAATGTGTTAAAATTATTACAACTTTTTAACAAGAAAAATCTCAAATAATTGATGTTAACTTTACCGCAAAACATTACTGATTTATTTAAGACAAAATAATCTATTATGAAATGTCTCCAATTTGTATTTAGATACATTGTATTTATTTTCAATTTTTCTTGTTACATTGTAAACCTATATTGCATATGATCCATTATTGTACATAATTAGGTTACAATAAAATTTGAGATATAGTAGATGCAAATTAAGATGTAGTAGAGTGGGGTCTCCGTATCATAGAACCGGGGTGGGGAACACGAGACCCTTTCATCGGCCCAGGGAACAATCATTAACTGTATTTTAATCTGAAATGTTCACTGTATAATGTTAGAGCTGTGTGATTAATGGACTGTTGGATTAAGTGTATTGACAATAAGATTTTGTTGAAATATATATATATGATGTTTTCTTTTATTAGATTTATTGATCTACATACTTCTTTCTCAAATATTAGTTCATTTCAACAGTACGTTTGTCATTTAAGACCTCATGGCCAAAACTAGACCGTTCTAAAAGTTTGAACTAATAATTGCTTCTAAAATTTGAAAAATGGGTTTAGGGGTATCCTAATGGGTCAAACTAGTTTGCTTAGAAAAACTAAATTCCAAATGATAGTTGTACGCAGACAAATGTACAAAGCATAAATCAATCTTTGCACGCATAGACAGAAACCATACGATATTATTTTGTTTAATTCTGTGGTTATATTGATGCCGAGAACACCAAGGATAGAATATGTAAGCAATGGGGAATTCTTAAAGAAAATTAAAAGCTACAATGAAGAGACAGTTGAAATGATGAGAAAAGAGGTTTGGAGGATTTAACAAGACACGGTGAAAACAAGAGAAGCAAGCGAAACAGCGGCTAACGAATTCGCGTGAATGAATGGCATAACAGTGACAAAGAGGGATATTAAAGAGGGAAAAGTTACTTCAAACAGCAAAAGATAGGAAGTTGTGAAGACCCATAATCAGCCACAAGACGTAGAACCTAGAAACTGGACGCTTGTAGCATCTTAAAATATGCTGAGTAAATAGACTTGTTAGGTAAGTTACGATAATTAGCATAAGGTTGGCTATCACCGCAATCATTAATCCGGTTCAATCCGGTACTAATTTTCAGGGGTGCAATCTCAGATTTCCCGTGGGCGCACAAACCGGTTTGGAAACAGACGAGACGAACTTTCTTATGTAAATCAACAGAATTAACTTTTCTTTTACCTGCGTTTCATTGTTCTTTATTTAATGTTTGTTTCCTTCATTAACAAACATATACACTTTTACAGGATATGTTAAATGTAGAATGAAGTGATTAACTGTTAGGCTACGTATTTTCTGATCTAACTCTTAGTAATCCACTAAAAATAATTTATCTCGCACCGTATAGGTCCCAATAATTTCCAAATTAGTGATGACCAATCTGCAGTTTACATCGATTCCAGTTTTCGAGCCCGAACGCTGAATTTCAAAATAAGAATTAAGGATGCCATCTCCACTTAAAAGTTTAGCACAGTACAGTCTTCTACCTAAAAGTTAATCTTATTCTGTACTAAGCTAATCTTATTATATATCAATAGAGAACTGTTTGGACCAAGAGATGAAAAAAATTGGACAAAAAAGATGGAAGTTTTATCTGTCGGAGTGTAAGAAAACTGAAACGGAGAGAAAATTGGAGGAATGAGAAAGAAAGAAAGAAAGAAAGAAAGAAAGAAAGAAAGAAAGAAAGAAAGAGTGATAAAATAATAAGTAGAAAGTTTCAAACTTAAACCAAATGATCAAACACCAGAATTTATTTTAGAATCCTTTCTTGATCGAGCTGAGAACCTTTCAACATAGCTTCTTAGAAATATGAAAAAGAAATCTTTTAGAATGAAATACGAAAAACTATGTAATTCTTAATAATAACGAAGGCAAGAAAAGGGCACAGAATCTCGAAGAAAGAAATCCATGCTAGGAGAGTTTGGAAAGAAGGGAGAGAATGAGTTTGGTCAGTTTTATCGTCTGCTTCAATGATCGCAATCAAGTGGGAAACTCTTGTTCACGGTCGCCTTCCATTTCCCCACACAAACCCTTCAAACTTCCCATTCATAAATTGGGTCTAATTCAGCAACAATGGCGAATGCCTCTGGGATAAGCCGTGTCCGGACTTGTTAATGACCCATCTGTTCGAGCGTTCTACATTGGTGACGACTCTTCAGGTTAAGGAGAACAAAAATGTTGCTTAGCCTCGTCATTTGCATGCGCTCATTTGCATATTACGGCACGCCCATCACTCATTAAGAAATATCCCAATGAAAATTTAATAAAAAAAAGAAAACACTGATAAAGGCCATAGACAAAAAACAGAATGGAAAAAAGAAGGTGAAAAACAAAAGTGTAATCCAAGAAAATTAACTAGCACACAATAAATAACATTTTTTTTTCTTTTCTTTCCTTTTCATTAAATGTAATGAAAAAAAGAAAGAAAAGAAGGAAAAATGTAATATTTTTACTCTTTTTTTTTCTCTTCTGTTATTCTTTAGAATTTTTTTTGTTTTGTTTTTTTCCTGGTTGTCACAATCGGCTAACCCAACCAACTTTCCAAAGTGCGAGACCTGCATACAAAATGAAGAGAAAATGCAACTCGCTGGCGATTTCTGTCAAAATGTTACCGGACACAAAAATCCAATTTAAAACATTTTACCAAATGTTCCACACATGTCGTTATATATATATATATATATATATATATATATATATATATATATATATATAAAGAGAGAGATAAATAGATAGACAGGTAGATAGATAGATTGAGAGAGAGAGAGAGAGAGCGAGAGAGAGGAGTGTTTCGAAAGATTGGCCCCATAACACATGTATTTAACATTACAATTTTCCTTTAAAATTAATTAATTAATTATATTTTTTTTATAAATTGTATTTTTCATATTGATATTTCATAACGTCTAAATAAACGAGAACAAAAATAATTTATACAGGAAGGATTATAAAGGGGAATAGACTGGACAACTTAGACCGATTGAATGGCAATTCAGATCTCCAAATCCAACACTTTTGCATTACTTCCTATCGGGCCACCTTAAATCAGTAGCTTACAAATAACCATTCTATAACAATCCAGGATCTAAATGATAGCATAACAAAAGAATTTTAAAATATGAGTGAATTATAGAGAGAGAGAGAATACTGGGTGTATTTAGACAGTTTAACCAAATATATATATATATATATATATATATATATATATATATATATATATATATATATATATAATACACATCATATATATAAATATATATATGAAAGAAAAATACAGAAAAAACAAAATTCTGAATATGCATTATTAATGTTAAAATAAAGTCGACGTCGGACGTTTCGGTCTATTTAAGACCATCTTCATGGACATTTTCATTTAAACATAATTAACATTATAACTTATAACAATTTAACACAAAAGACGATGGACATAAGAGAGCCCAACTAATTCAGACAGATAACTGAAATTTTATACGGATCAGCGTTCTGTTTAAATATGATCACGTAGTCGTCTCGTGGGCGATGTTGTTAAGACGTATTCGAAGATGATTTCCAAAAAATAAAATATCAAAAAGTCGATTGAAAATTTTTTATAAAAAGCCAAAGAAATCTCTTCAGCATATTGGAATTTTTTTTTTCTGTATTTTTCTTTCATACTGTCGGATTTATATCCATATATTTCCTTACATATATATATATATATATATATATATAAACACATTACACATAAATAGATATAGATATACATTACACACATATATATATGTGTGTGTGTGTAAAATTAGAAACTTACTTGATCAATATTATTCAAGTCCAATGACAACATTAAACCTATATATATATATATATATATATATTTGAAGATTTTTCAAGAATAAAACAGTTTGTCTCCGCTTGATGTTGGACTTTATAATTTACAGACATTCTATCTCTGAAAGCACTTTTACCCATAAATATAGCATATCTCAAAATATTTTTATTATGCATATATATATAAATGTGTGTGTTTGTGACGTTTCGGACGTTTAAACAGACAGAATTTAAGAGGGATAACTTATGAATAGATATGGACATATTGGATTTGACAAATTAGTAAAACGAATAAAATTAGATAGATAGATAGATAATAGATTTAGAAGATAGAAAGTAAATAAACTAAGAAAAAAAAATTCAAAGAAAGAAAGAAAGGAAAGGAAAAATTTATACAGATCAATATTTTTTTATCAATATACCAAAATATAGATTATTGGTGATTCTTCTCCTTATTATTTTTAGATAAATTCTTTTTAAAAACACTGGCAATAACGAATAACAATTGGTTGAAGTAAATGCGTCCACCTTAAAGAGATTTTTGATCAGTAAACAAAAGGATTTGCTGTTCAGAAGCGAATGGAAAGATATTGATTTACTCTGAAATCTCTTAAACATTTTTCTTTTTCATGTTTAACCGTATTCCTGTAAAATTATAACTCTCAAAATACGGGGTCTGCACTGGTAGTTCTTTTCAAAAGACATCTTTCCATTCATAATTTTTCTGTCTGTCTCCTGAATGACTGTCCCCCACTCTCTCTCTCTTTTCTCTCTCTCTCTCTCTCTCTCTATATATATATATATATATATATATATATATATATATACAAACCGATAGATAGATAGATAGATAGATAGATAGATAGATAGATAGATTTATATATATATATATAGAGAGAGAGAGAAATCTCAACGAATCTAAATAAAAGAGTATATGAACACAAAAGGGACATTTTACTAAACAATACATCAAATGCGTTGGTTGCCCACCGTAATGAGATTGACCAGAATTTTGAAATAAAAAATCCTACTCTGCTCAAAGGAGAAAACAATTGACTACAAAGAAAACTTTTAGAGAGTGCCTTGATTGCAAGGCTATCCACAGTAAATTTGCACCCTGGCGCATACAGCATTTCACCATTCAAGGCAGAACTTCTATTAACACAGTGTGGGATATCTAATAACAAAAGGGATGGAAACAAAAAGAAAAAAATATAAATGAAATCGGCTAGATTATAAAAATTTTTTTTTTTAAATTCTTAGCATCCCGCGTTCGTACGCATTTGTAGCTGCACCAACATAAATTTAATCCGATGAAGGTCGAAACGCCTTACACGACATATTTTCCACTTTGCCATACATTTTCCCCATATATATATATATATATATATATATATATATATATATATATATATATATATTTACAAATGTAATAAGAACGAAAAGAATATAAATTCAAACGTTCACAGCATTAATTAAAAAGAGGGCTCAAATACCCGGAGTAGAGCAGTAGTTATTTATTATAAAATGTTTACATAGACATACGTGTGTATGTTTGTATTCTTTTTTTTTAAGTCGTTAAGTGGCGTTGTCAAGCAAATATAAAAATGTCGTCTCTTTCTTTTCTCTTATTTCATACTAGTATGCGGTATAAGTTAGTTACTAAGTGAGTTTATTGCATAGATTGATTGATTTGTGTTTTACGGCTTATCAGCCCTTTGCGGCTATTTAAAGCCGAACAAATTTTGAATCTTTTCAAATGTTGAATTATAACAATAATCTTTTTTTTTTGCGAGTGAATATTGCATTAACAATTTTTTTCAGAATAACAATGATTTTCCTAGATACAAGTGCTACTATTTAACCCATAGCTAGTGGGAGAAGAAGTATGCCTTTCCCAAGGGTATTTGTGCGTAAGCTAATATAATGAACTTGACCCGCACTTCCACCCGTCCTGGGTATGATTATAAACTACATCTGTGTCCTGGGTAAGACGATAAACTACGTCCAACAGCAAGGCCTCTGATCAGGAGGTTTTGAGGTGCGTGGAACCACCTCTTAATTGATGGTGTTCCCAGGTCCGCCCTTACGCGGGGTGGTAGCACCTCTTAGGGTCCCAGCTATGGGCAAATAGTTGACACCCAAACTTGTATAAAAATAGCTTTTATTACCAGAAATACTTTGTAATAAAAAAAATATTACCAGCAATAATTTTTGAAGGAAAAATTATAATCAGCAATACTTTTAAAAAAGTACTAGCAATACAAACAGCTGAAAAAAAATATGACCAGCTATAGATTTCTTCAAGGAAAAATATTCCCAGAAATAGATCTTTGAAGAAAAACCTATTATCAGCAATAAAAATTTTGTCGGCATTAAATAACCTATTGAGGTTGATATGCCATAAAACAAAACAAACCAGACCGCACTTTCATTTTTTTATGGATGTAAGAAGAGGAAATGCAGATTATGAGGATATGTAAGAAAGATTACGGTTAACCCTAGACTTGAAGAAGTTAAGATTGTAGTGAGCAAAGAGCATCTTCTCGGAAGTCTTTTCCACAAAATAGCTATTCTCGTGAAACTCTCGTCTTACTAATGGAATATGAATGGAATGAAGATTACTCAACCCCGTGTACATGGCATGAAAAATAAATGTCTGAACTGGTGGAACATTTGTCATCAAAATAGCCATAAAATAGCAGTAGGCTGGTGATGTTTTCGGCCGTGGGAAAGGGGCTTTACAATTCTATCAAAACTAGAAAGTGAGTATTGGGTAGCTCCATTCCAAATATGGCAACGATACTCCTTTTTTGGTTTGATCTGACGTTTGAAACGATAGATTATGGTAGGAGGAATCAATGACACAAGAACCAACTATTTTTACAGCAGCTTTAGCGATGAATCGTATATACTAGTTTCACTTGAGATGTGTAGAGAACAGTATTCCCAGTAGACTTGAGACTATATCATGACTGGAGGAAATTCATGATCTTCTGGGTAATGATGGAACATTAATAGCACGGTTTTTGAGCTACAACCCAGCTAGGTCAGATGATACAGTAATATACAGGGGGTAATGGGTGAATTGCTGCCATTTTATATTTTACATTCCGCGCATGCGTGTTGTTTGTCTTTGATTTTCTTGACTGCACAGTAGGATTAGTTGGACACCGACTGTGAGAAAAAGAGCACCATAACGCAATTCACTCTGCCAGAAATTTGGAAAAGGCATGCTGTAACATTCGCGTCGGAAGCTCCGATACGAACATTTCAGAGTGTATAGGTGTCAATCTGAGAACAGTGCAGAGGATTCGGAAAGAGTTGGATGAGTCTAATGGTGACTACGAAGGTACAGCAGCTCAGAAAACTCACTCTGATCGTTCTGATAAGAAAAAAAACTCCCAAATTTGTTGGTGAGGGTCTCAGAGGCCTACATCAAAAGCCTTAAGGAGGTAGTGCTGCCCTGAGTCAAAAGGGTGCCAGCTGGAAGACCCTATGTCTGGCATCATCCCACTGATGAAACTCGGCTTTCCGATTTCCTATTCCAAACCATTATCAACTACACTACCCGTACATCCAAGTTTAAAGCACCTGGTATTCCGAAGTTGTCACCTAGGTCCTAACCAGGTTCGACGTAACTTTGATGATTGTACGAGAATGTGACATGGCCGTAAGCCAAATAAACAGCCCATCCAAGTTTACAGCACCTGGTATTCTCAAGTTAGTCACCCATCTAGGTACTAACCAGGCTCGACGTTGCTTAAGTTCGATGATCGTACAGGAACCAACGTTTCAATGTGATATGGCCGTAAGCCCCTGTTTTCTGTAATAAAATTCGTGCACACGGTCTCATGTTTCATGAAATTGGATAATAGTGGTTACACATAAACATCTTTTGCTTAACGCCATGTCCCTTTAGTCGGTCATGGCTGCCTATATCTTCCTTCTCTTTAACATCTGTGAATTTTGAAAAAGACAGTGAAGTGGTTTTCCGTTGCCATACCAACAATTTTGGCACTTAGTGTTGTTTCCCTCCTAGACTGGCTGCCACCCAAAGCACCAAGCCCTGTCTATTCTTCTATTTAACCTATACATAGAGGGAGAAGAAATTGATTGATGCTGTTCCTTAGGAGCATTAGTACGAAGTGAGTATGCCAGAACTTGAACTTGGCTCGCCGATTTTAGTTTACAGGCCTATAAACGCTCGGGTGTATTAAAAAAATTCTTTTCTTTGTATTTTTTTTCCATTTTTTTTTCACATCCACCAATGTTTATTTCATGTAGGCATCGAAACCTCATTCTATTATTAATATATAATGCTAGAAGGCACATTATTAAGACTCTTGAATGCAAAAGCCGGTGAACATAGATTTACAATTTAAAAAAATAGTAATATCTATTTTGGTACCCACTAAAATATAATGTTTACAGTAGTAAGAAACTTTGTCAAATTAAAAATAAAATGCATTAATTCCTTAGAAAAAACTTTGATAAAGTTTCGGATATTAAAATATTTAGTAAATATGGGCTTCGAGGGATCTGGACAAGAAATGTGCATTTATTAAATATGGTAACTAAACTTGTCTTGTCTGTGAATGTCATCCGGGGTTGATTAATTCCTTTATATATATATATATATATATATATATATATATATATATATATATATATATATATATATATATATATATATGCTCCCGGGAAATCTGGTTGAGCTCTCTTGAGAAAAGAGTAATTTTAAAAACAGTGGCTCATATCGCTATTAACGCATTGAACCGAATTGAATTGAGCTGTATAGAAAACGTTAAAATTTTCCTTTCTCTCTGTCGTGCGTGGACTAAAATTGGTCGGGTTTCGATCCCAGCTTGAAGTCTGATTGTGGATGACATATATATAAAAATTGAACAACCTTAACAGCAACAAACAGGACATTTACGATAAGCTATGTACTTGTTTATCGTTGCTTAGAGATCATCTATGTAAACATTCACAGACTGTCATCACTGTCTTGTCCGTATATTGCTTAATATGTTGTAATTGACATCTTTGATAATGGCTTATCTAAACCAAAAGCTTAGATTGTATTAAAAAATATGGATCAATATTGTGAATTTCTATCTTCGTTCAATGATATCGTTATTAAACTTATTAGACGTTATGAAAAGAGTTTACATAAAATAAATAGACAATAATTGTCTATATTATTTAATGAAACGTGTCTAAATATATATATATATATATATATATATATATATATATATATATATATATATATATATACTATATTAAAGGATTCTCTAACGGGTGCTATTTAATCTAGCTCCTTCAGAGGGTTCTTGATTGGACCTTCTGCTTGTTCCGGAGTTTGAGAGTCCCTAAGTCTTAACATCCTCAGCATTGGAAGCTCTCCGCTTCATCTGGGTTTTCATTTGCTCGGGACTTTCTTTTCCTCGCTGCAGTCTTGGCAATCTGGTTCTCTGTTGGCTGAGATTTCTTTTTGCAAAGCATACTGCTGCCGTATGCGATAGGCAACGATAAACTACAGAAGAACTTAAAATTGATCGCTGCATCTAAGTAATGCATTAATTAATTTGCTGTGCGTAGGTCCTTACTTTCCGTACAAACAATTATTTTTATTTTATTATTTTTATTATTCCCAAGTTGATTTCCAAGTTATAAAAATTGTTATCATACAAAAAATCGTCGCAAAAAAATTACATAAAAATCAACAAAAACAATCGCAGTAATGAAAACTTAGGATTCCAAAATTTCTGTAACATGAGTTATTGAAAGTTAGAGAGTTGTGTTCCTTTACTTGAAAAAGTGTGACAACACAGTCACACACTGAAATGGGCATTTATTTTATATATATATATATATATATGGTGCTCTGGATAAAGTGTAGTCTAAATTACGTAAAAATGAATCTCATTTTAACATATATTTACCAAAATTACACAAAAATATCTTGAAATACTAAAAAATAAATTTATTCAATAAAATCGCCATTGGCTTCAACCACGACTTGTGTGGCATGTTGCCAGACATAGGGCCTTCCAGGCCTTCTTGGCTCAGGATTGCACAACCTCCTCAAGGCACTTGATCTAGGCCTCTGCGTTGAGTCTAATGCCATGACCAACAAATTCGATAGTTCTTCTCTTATCAGAATTATCAAAGTGAGTTTTCTGAGCTGCCGTACCTTCGTAATCACCATTAGACTCATCCAACTCTTTCTGAATCAGCTGTAATGCCTTCCGATTGGCACCCATACACTCTTAAATGTTCATATTGGAGCTTCCGACGCGAATGTCGAGCAGTAAAGCATGCCATTTCCAAATTTCTGTCGGAGTGAATCGCGTCATGGTGGTCTTTTCTCACAGATGGTGTCCAACTGACGCTACTGTACTATGCAGTCGACAAAATCAAAAACAAGGAACGCGCATGCGCGAAGTGAAAAATATAAAATGACGGCAATTTACCTATCGCACCTCGTATATATATATATATATATATATATATATATATATATATATATATAAGTACTTTCCGGCTGTAGCTTCACTACAATTACGACTAGAATTATCCTTTCTTCACTTACAGCGGGAATTGTTCAAAAACTCGACTTTGTAAATAAATGTTTTCAGCGTAAACCAGATGCTGCCCTAAAAATAAAAAAGGATAAAATATGCTAGAATTTCGAGATTCAGGCAAATCAATCTATCGAAGCAAGAAGACGAAATTTGATTGCTACGAAAAAGGAAAAAATACCTGTTAGATCATAGACGTGCCTGTATCAATGTATCTTGGATTAAAGATATACCGAAAAAAAATGCCATACTAACAGAGAGTAACAGATAAATTGAGAACTGTCCAAGAACAACTAAAGATGAAAAGGAAACGTTTAAATTTGAGAAAGAGTTGAGACTATGCAAGCCCTAGATGTGTTGGGATCGGCAAGAATACTGAGACAAATATATGACTCGTTGTCAATCTATCCTAAGCGACATAGGGAGTTAACATACAGATGCATGAAATAATAATAATAATAATGGTTTTGCATTCGGATTTTCCTAAATCCTTATCTTTCGCTTTATACTGTTTTTACCTCAAATCAAGGACATATTCTTGAAAATTTATGAATCGAATTTAAGTCCTTCAAATTGCCAGGCATTATAGTATATGATATAGTTGCCAGTGCAATAAAAGAGTTACTTTCCATGACATACAGACTCACTATCTGGATTTGTTGCCATTTAATATATTATTATATGTTAGGACATTAGTGATGAAATAAAGCTGCTCAAATCAACTGAACAGCTGGGATGGTTTGTTTGTTTGTTTTCAATATGAAAGCAGATATTTCTTAGATTGCCATTTATAGTAAATCCCCACCAAAAGGAAAACAAAATGATGCCCAGTCGTCTGTCGCCTGTCGCATGTACGTACAGAATCAGCCTTTCAGTATTTCCAAATAGAGACGCTGTTAAAAGCGACGTCGGAGCAAAAGAAATAACCCATCTTTTATTTCTACTGATGAGAGGATACTTGCGTCGTTACGACCTCTCTCTCTCTCTCTCTCTCTCTCTCTCTCGCCCCCTCCCCCTCTCTCTCTCTCTATCTATCTATCTAGCTAGCTAGCTGTCCCTCTCTACTCCATTTTCTTTCACTCTTTCCTTTTACTATAGGCTCGTCGTTGTTATAATTATTTTTCTTCAACGACAACACAAATCAAGCTGAAATAATAATGACATCAAAAATGTTCCGAAGTTTACCAAAGAAAACAAGCGTTGTTTGACAAGAGGACGGTTCGACGGTTGTGGCACATTTGCTATTCACAGTATATGACAGATTATGGCATAGAAAAGAAACATTAAAATAAAACCAAAGGCAACAGACATTATTACCGAAAATAAAATTAATAGAAAGGACGTCAACTGCGAAAAATGTATAGAAACGCACCCACACAGTGCAATACCCAAACGATAAATATGAATGTTTTTCAAACTTACTATTTGTTCATGTGTGTGTGTGTGTGTGTGTGTGTGTGTGTGTGTGTATACACGCATTGATTTGCATCATGTACCGCTGAGACAGTACTAGACAGAATCAGTGCAGGATGAAAAGTCCTAAGCCTGAAGAATTAAGCCCTTAAAAAAATCTGACTTTTGATTAGATTTTGGAATGTATGCAAATTTTCTACCTCATAGTCCATTGTATTTAAAGATTAAATTATAAAGTTTGTTGTGATATTTTGTTTAACAAACATGGTTAACAAATGTGTTGCATTTGGCTGTTCTAGTGGATATGTTACTAACAGTGAAAAAATATCGACATTTTCTTTTCTCTTGGAAAATCAGACTTCGTAGAAAAATGGATAAAATTTGATAATCGTATTGATTGGTTTCCTATGAAAAATTCAGTTCTCTGTATGAAACATTTTAAAGAGAAATTTATTTTGAAAGGAAAACGAAACAAACTGAATTGATATTTACATCCAATACCTACAATACATTAAGAAAGAAATTAAAAAACTGTCTCTTTTGCCGAATACAAGGGAATTCAGAAAACCTCCAAAACAACGAATGGTCCAAATTGATGAATTAAATGATTTTATTTCAGCTGAAACTGGATTCTCTATCCACTGTGCCATGTGTCCTTGAGGATAACTGTGTATGAATTTCTGGTTATTATAAACTTAATGTCTTCAGCAAGCATTTTTTACAATTTTTGCTGTTATCATATCATGTTTTTACCAGAGCTCATATTGCAATTTTTGTTGTTATTATCGCTCTTCTCTGGCACTCCTTATTAC